AAAAAAGGCTAKTGAAAAAGGTACCTCCATTTGAATCACCCGTTATATATAGTACTACACACATTGATTTGAACAAACATTGCATGTATTAAGAAGCAGCGCAGAGAAAATTTAGAGGAAAGAAAGAACGTACTTTTTAAAGACAAATATTTGCCATGTTGTCGCAGTAAAGACTAGACTAAGATATTGATAAATATTTAATTTAARTTTCAAAAATAAATCAACGTWCAGACATGTAAACACAAATACCAATTTCGATCGAGCTAGGGGGTTCTTTAGAAGTTCATTGATTGTTTTATTACGTCATACGAAACCTTATTTTTATTTTATTTCCATCTGTCAATCAGCACTTCATTTTGAGCTAGTTAAGGCCGAGGCGAGTTTTTCAAAACTCCAGTTCTCTAAAGCTTTTTCGATCTAATCTAGGTATCAGTAGCATTATTGTTTTCAGCGCTGTCGAAGAAAATCAATTTTAACCCACTCTGTAGCAAAAAATGTTCATTGATTTTACGACCGAGATATCTTCCCCGATAGCAAAATCGACGACATAACAAGAATGCTTAGTGCCATTTATGCTAGTGTTTGATCTGCAGTCTATAGTTTCAATACCTTTACGCAGTGTTTCTTGGCGCCTGCATGTTCGAAAATAGTATATATTTTATGACAAGATCAAGTCTTACTTCGGTTGTTCGCCGGGCTAAAATAGTCGAACTGAAAACAGCTAACAGAGACGCTAAAAAGAATTTCAGGATCTTGTATTGGTAGACTACTGAATGATGGTAATGGCATCTCAAAATACTAGGGCGGTCTGATTATGCATAAAATAATGAGGATGTGAAACCCGTCCGTGTGTTGGGTGCCGRGTTTGCTCAATCCGAGCAACAAACATAGCTATGAGACCACTTCACGTCAGGGTTTGAGCTTACTTACGCATAATTGGAAGGAGTTTTTGTGTTGTTTTGAAATCGTCGACGAAACAGGCATTCACTGGCATGCATTAAAGAATAATAAATAGGCGAAACAGAGGGCTGCAAACGGCTAATCTGATACGTAGAAGTCGCAGACTGCACTAGGGCCGAAAAGTTTAGGACAATTCGCAAGATATAATGCTTGAAGTGTCACAATGCTCTGCAATGGCGGTTTATTGGAACAAATCAAGCACGAATCACGGATAAAAATGTAAATTTTGGCGTTTAACGAAGCCTTATTTCAACATTACTACGCAATAGCTCTCACTTCTGCTGTCACCGCGTTCAAATTGTTCGCAGTAGATTACGAAATGATGAATTACCACCTGCCGTATTCTTCAGATTTGATTTCAGGCGACTTATTTTTTTTTCCAAACCGCAAAAATTCTCATGCCGATCATAAATTTGTGTTGAATAAGGTTAAGTTATCATCACAAGGAAAGCTCTTTTTGCAGACCTTCGGAAACCTATTTTCCAGGGCGGTTAAAGAAGAGTATCGAGAAAGAGACTTGCTTAGGAATTAACTGACAGTTTTAAAAATGTTTCGCCTTACTTTTGAAGGCTAAATAGATTTCGGACCAGCCTCGCACATACTTACATACCTTACTTTTTCTCCAGCACTAACGGACACCGGAAAAGAAATTATTATCTATTAAATTATATAAACTTCTTCTACTCAAAAATATATATTTTCCACGCACTGCGCTATTTAGAATACACTATGCTACATACATGCATATACATATGAAGATGACGTTCGTTTTTTCTGGCATTTTTTGCTTGCATTATTCATTCGCTGAGTTATATTACAGAAGTTTAAAGCACACGAAGACGTGTTTARCTCGCATTTTTAGTCATAAATCAAAAGTGTGCAAACAAATATGAATGAGTGCATAACTGTAAATGCGTACGTGCTTGTGTGTGTGTGTGTCGCCAGCTTTTTTGTCTGCTTACAGCAGACAGTGTAAAGGCGCACACGCGCTGAACAGCAAGCATACAGGGCAAGGCATGGAAAAACATTGAAAAGCATACGCAGATATCCTAATTCTACAGAAATCACACACACACATACGCAGGCAGGCTGGCAGGAGGTATCATAAATGTCATTGTATGCAGACCGCTGTGTATGAGGTTAGGCATTCTGTTTGCAAATGGATYCGTAAAACATCTGTATTGTCGTTGCGGGATGAATAATTAAATTGTCTTGCATGTGCGGAATGTTGCCATTGAATGAGGAYAAAAACAAGATATTATATGTAGAATGAAGTATGCGGTCTGTGACAACCCCTTGCCTGCAGTGGGTTCAAAAATAGTGGT